TGATCACACGACGATTCTGCAGTGCCTGTGCTCTGATCGCAGGAGGAGCAGCAGAGTGATAGGGGCAGGACAGTGTCGGGCTGGACCTCCACAGAGACACAGGAGACCCGGATGTGTGACTCCTGAGTTGCAGCAGGGCTCCTAGATTACAAACCCTCTGGGCCACTTAAATATTTACCCCTGTGGCATCTCCTAGCCTTGATGGCGTCACGTTCAGAAATCTACAGGTGGAACAGAGCCTGACCTGGCCTGCTGCTCTGTCCTCTCCAGAGTTCTCCTTCTTCGACCCGAACGAGCCGAAGTGCCGGGCCATCCTGCTGGACCCGCGGACCTCGGTGCCGGAGCTGTTCGCCGTGCTGCGCCAGTGGGTGCCCCAGGTCCAGCAGAACATCAGCCTGATCGGGAACGAGGTGGGTGCAGTCTCCTTCCTCTGGGCCTGGTCACTGTCTTTCTCCTCATCGCTGCCTGGCTGGTCGCCCCTTCGTCATCATCACACGGAGAGCGCTGTGTCAAAGGGACACACTGTTCTCTCCCCTCTGCGGGTTCAAATCCTGGTTGGGGCACAGCTGTTGTACCCTGGAGCCAGGTGCTTCTCTCTGATGGCCCCAGTAAAGACCCAGCTGTGTGAGTGGGTACAGACTGTAGTGGCTGTGGATAAAACAGCCACTACAGCCCAACTGAGGGGTAATAACGGGAGGCTTTCAGAAAGTCCACACTCTTTGAACACAAACCAGCAGAGTGAACAGAGCTGTCAGTGTGTCCAGGAAGGGCCCAGTTTCCCATCAGCCATCTGAGTGGTGCCAGAGACCTTTTCAAAGGCCTAGTCTGGAGTTGGGTCCACTACCACCCCTCACCTCTGACATGAATGAAGACTTTTTAGGGTGTCCAAACCCCCAGTCTGCGTCCATGCTGACCCCGCTCCCCTGTGTCCCGCCTGCAGATCCTGAAGCGCGGCTGTGGAGTGAACGACCGGGACAGCCTGACGGACATGACCCTGCTCCATTACACCTGCAAGGCAGGGGCGCCGGGAATCGGTGAGTCCGGCCCGGCCGTCTCCGGGAGGGGACAATGATCACGTGACTGTAGAGCAGTGAGGGGGCA